CCCATCCCACCTTCTTCCTTGGGTCTACATATTTGATTCCACTTAATTAAATGGATACGTTGGTGGTCATCATCTCCACCCCAAAGAAAATTACGACAGTATCGCTCAATTCGTTTACAGCATTCCAGAAGAATAGAAACTGTTTGCATCACATAATATAGAATAGTAGATAGTACTGATTTTATCAATGTAAGTCTACTAGTAAAAGACAGTGAAGAAGCTTTCCAACCCCTCAATTTACTTTTCACTTTATCCTCCATAAACTTAAAAGATGTAACTCCTTTCCTTCCTTGAAATAGTAGTACACCTAAGTAGGTGCCTGAGTTCCTAGAATAAGAGACACAATTTGTTAACAACAAAATATTTCATTTCATTATTTTTTTGTTAAAAACTCAACGAAATTAAAAATACAGAGACACAATTTGTCATTTATATTAAAAAAAATGTTTGGTGAAATATTTCAATTCGGTTACTTTTTGTTTAAAAATCAATAAAATAGAAAGTATAACAGCAAAAATGAATAAAATTAAAGTAACAAAAGTCAATATTAAATCATAATATAATGATAAACGTGACCTTAATTCTTAAAATTAAGGATGACTACGTCTTATCTATTGTTCTATCACAATAAAGACAAATCGAATTAATAGATATATATAAATATAATTAGAATTTTCTATATTTTTAATGGTTTCTACATAAATGTATATGCAATTAAAGTTCCAACTTGCAAGATTCTCTCACCTACCACCACTCCTCACTCTTTTTCATCATTAAAAGGTATCAAGTCATTATTATAATTCATCAAAACCATATATTAAATGTAACAAAAATTTCCAAACTGCATTTGCTAGATTCTTATAACAAGCCCAACCTTTCCCATTGTAAATTCACGTACACATCATTGCATTGCAAGATTCTCTTAACAAGTCCAACATCTTCCTTTCTCAATTTCCATCTTTTTTATTTTAGAATGAGGGATTTAAATCTATTTTTTTAATTGGTTCAAGGCTTGTTATGACATGCAGATTATATTGTGTTAATAAACCCGTTTTTTTTTTAAAAAAATTCATCTCTCTAACTATCAAACTAAATGCTTGGATAACCTAAATTAATTGTAAATGAAACTTATGTCATTAAGAGTTATAAGATATCTTGAATTTCTTAAATTTCACATTTAAGTTTTAATGTATGTGAATTTAATCCATTTTTATATTGTTTGTTTATTGATTTTATCTATTAATATAATTTCTGATATATATTATTTAATTGTAATTTAAATTTTTACATTGGAATTACAAAAGCATAATATTTTTAAAAAATCTGAACTATTTAAAAAAATTAAGTAAGTATTTATTTTTTATTACATTCAATTAAATTTTTATATTTTCTTATTTGGATTTATATTTAATGTATTGACAATTTATAATTTCTATACATCATCAGCTCATCAAAATGTGCCACCTCATTAATGAGATAAAATAAAAACTTTTAAAAATTTAAAATTAAACATGAAAAAATTATAATAATTAATTAAATAAAAATAAAATATTTTCACTTTCAATCTTTCTCAATTGTTCTTTTTCTTATTTTCCTCTTTTCTATTTCTCTCTAACTCCATCATCTTCCTTTTCACTTCTTTTTCCATTAAATTAGGTTTTGCAAAATTCTATAACTTTTTTAAGAGTAATTTTTAAATTATTTTCTTATTTTATAGAGATTGAGAAAACAAGATTCAAATAAATAAATCTTATTAGTATAATTTTATTTAGTCAACTATTTTGCTTATAAATAACAAATTAAGTCCAAAATTATTCTTTTCCATGGGCATTAGGTTTTTTTTGTCCTTAGAATGCACTCATAAAACTTCGAATTTCTATTAAAACCAAAATTCTTTTGAGCTGTTACTTTACTATTTTACTAAAACTCAAAATATTAATAAATTTAAACTTAAACTAAATCACATGTTTTTTGGTATTTAAAGTTATATAAACATTTTAATTTTTAGCTAAACCTCGTATTTTTAAGATTTAAATGAAAATTAGTTATATTTGATGGAATGTTACTAACCATTTTAAAAGATTGTCAAAATCAACTACTTGAATAAAACACCACGAGAAAGGAAGGTGTGATATGACTTCTAAGAAAAGAGCAATTTTTGACTTAATTTTGTTAATTAGAAATAAAATTGTTAACTTAATAAAATTTGCTTATAAAATTTATATATTTAAATATTATTCTCTCATTTTTTTTAAATATGTTTTCTCAATCTCTTTAGAAAAGAAAAAGAAAAGAATTTAAAAAATAAAAAAAGAATTTAAAAATTGCTCTTAAAGTTGTAAAGTTTTACAAAACTTAATTTTAAGGGTAAAAGAGGAGAAGAAGATGGAGTTAAAAGAGATAAATGGAAGAAGAGGAGAAGAAGACCATAGAGTTGGAGAGTGATAAAAGATCAAAAAAAAAAAAAAAGAATATATGAGAGAAATAAAAAATTGAAAATATTTTTTAATTAATTATTATAAATTTTTTAATATTTAATTCTTAATTTTTTAAAATTTTTTATTTTATCTCAGTAATTAGGTGTCAGATTTTGGTACAATAACAGGAAGCTATACACTGCTAGGGAATTAAATATTAATTTTTTTTATTTTAAATCAAATAAATATTTTTAATTAATAGTTAACTAATTATATTAATTAAAATTTTATTTATCATTTTATATGAGATGATAATTAGTTATATTGATTTATTAAATTAAAAATAATAAAAAAATATTTAAAGTTTTTTAAAAATATTATACGGATAACAAATTATTGACCTAAGTCTTTTTGTAATAATACTTCTTAATAAGTCTACAAAATAAATAACACAATAAGAATATGTTATTTTATTATGATGAATTTGCAGCAGCCAGCGTCATCCTTCAGTAGCACCAACGAAAACAAAGCGGACAAAAGGGCAAAAAGAAGGCTCTTTCGCTTTATTTCCGCGCTTTCATAGCTTTTCTCGCCGAATAAAACTTCCAAACCAATACTGAACTCTTTTACCCTTTTTCTTTTTTAATTTAGATTTTCTAAAAGTCGGAGCTCTTGTAGCTTCCCTGTCCCTCTCCTTCTCTTTTCCCTCTCAGAAAAATAAAAAAAAAATAAAAACCCAATAAAATTTCTCTCTTTGCACTTCTCTCAGCTCAATTTCCGTCAAGGTAACTATTTTAGTTTTTTATATCAGTTTAAGATGTGTTAATAGATTCCTTTTTCTGGGGATTATCCAAATTGTGTAATTTTCATTTCACAGTCCATGCGTATTTTGGACCAAATTCTGTGCTTTAAAGTTGCTTTTTTTTTTGTTTGGGATAATTTAACTTGGGTTTTTTTTTATTTGATTGATCCATGCTTGTTTGTGCGTTGATCTTGTGATTTTTGATGGGTTTTTGGGTGTTGATTTTGATTAAAACTTGAATCTTTGAATGGTTTAATTATATATTTTTTTTGGGTTGAATTGAAGAGAGAATTTTAGCTGTAATCTGTGGTACCCAAACTGATTCTTGATTTTTTTGTTGATATTTTAATTTCTTCCTATTAACGGAAAAACCCTTTCGCTAATTATGAGTAAAGGCTTAAAAAGATGGTCACTTTCATTAGAAAAAAACAAGGAAAATTGGACAAGCAATTCTTTTATAGGAAATTTTTTTTGCTTAAAAGGGGAAGTTCGTTGGTTTTTTTACAAGTGGCACTTTGAAATAGGCATTGGTTAATTGAGGTTACCCACTTGCTATGAAGATTGTTTTGTTGGCTCAATTTGGTTTATGTTATCCACAAAATTGACTTACATTTTTTGTTTTTAATTTTACAGCTGAAGCAATAGCTATTTAGCTAAGTTATACAAGGGCATTCCACATTGTATATATGGAAGAGAGAGGGGGTACTGGTTCGTAGGGGTGGTGGGACTTCTGCGAGCTTAGCGTCCTCTCTCATTGTCTATTTTTTTTTCCTTAGCTACAAGACCTTTGTTCTTGATGCATTTGCATGAGTTGAATGGTTGAGCTTTATTGATGAGATTGTGTGGAGAGTTTTAACTGAAGGGGAAAGTTCAAGTTAACATTATGGGTTCTGTTTGTTGCTGCTTGCACGCTGAGGATTTTGAGGACTATGTGAATCCAAACAGTAATGTATATAGAAACTGCATGTGCTTCAGTTGCTTTGTTCAGAATTTCCTACACGTGGTATGTTTTATGATTCCTGTTAATAAGCATTGTTTTGGAATCTAGTGTTGTTTCTTCATATTGCATTATTTTCATGTCTCACTTGAGGTTACAAGTATGGTAGCTCTATTGAATATTTCTTTTGTTGCTCTTTTATGTTTGTTTTTTTAAAACTTAGGCCTGTCATTGGAAATTTTAACTCTTATCTTTTCTTTCTTTGGCACATGTGGGTGCCATAAGCGAATCTTTTCACAATAAATTTGTCTAGAGCATTGTACTGTGCTAAAGATTATCTCTACCATTAATGCAAACAAGGTCCTTGGTGAACTTTTTCTAAGTCAGGAAAAAAATTCCCTTATGTTCATATGATCTGTTTGGGGCTGTTAGAAGCTACTTGCCTGCTTATATATTCAGCTGGAATAAGGTAATTAACCTGTCTTTGTCTAAAAGCTTTTTTGTTTAATGAATCCTCTTAATGGGTTCTAGGAAAAACTTCTTACTATGTCCACACCTGAGTTCTCAATTTAGGAAATTCCATCAGCATTTACCTATTTTGGCTCCTAGGTGAATATAGATCTACTAAAGTCAATTGTGGACTATTAAACACTAACCAAATCAATAAAGTTAGTGGTTGGTTGTGTACAATAAGAAGCTTGTGTTAAATTAATATTAGGGGTGAGAAAGTTAACTTGAAGAGGTTTTGGTGTTACATATTTCAGCATTTATCAGAAAAAGTTATCTTCGATAATTTCATTTATGGAGTTTCAGCTTTTTCATGCTCCTTTTTTTTCTTTTGTCACCATAATTGTAGTATACCACATTATTCCGAAGAGGGGAAGTGCATTCTGTCCCTTCATCCATTCAGGGGACAGCTTCTGTGAACTCTTCTGCATCACTAGACAACTCACTTTCTGACATGTACCGCTCTCCTCCAAGGCCCTTGCCTTATGATGCTGACACCAGATATTTCTGCTTACAACGTGATGGTCTTGTTTCACGGCGTGAGAAGGGTTCAAGTCATTCACAAGAGGAATCAGAGCCTTTAAGGGGTGAAGATGATGCAGATTCAGAATCTATGAGTACAGGAGACAAATGGAAAGGTTGTGAAGAAGGCTCAAAAGAGCAGCATTCCAAATCCTCACAAAAACTCTTATCAGCAAAAGCACCAGTTGGAGTTGGGTACATCTATTCATCAACAGAAGAGGAGGATGTCTGTCCAACATGTCTTGAAGGTAATCTTTCTTGGCAAGTTTTAATGGTGTTGTAGCTATTAGACTATGCTGTGAAATTTTGTTACTGAAGATCATTGCTAATTTGCTATGATGATGTAATGGTGGTCAACTCGCATTTCTTAGCATGCACCAATCCTAGTTTGGACTCTTAACCACTTGTCTATTCATTGCTTATAACCAGTCAGGGAGTAATTGAATTATCGGGCCCATTCGTGAAGACTCCAACGTCTTTCATTTGTATGCATGTCTGTGGTTGTGTGCATTTTTTGTATTCATGTATGTTTGAACCTAAAGTATAATTATTTTTTTAAAAAAAAAATTGTGGACGTTTGTTGCCTTAATATTTGTGAAGAATAATGGGGCTGTGTTCCCCTGCCTCTGGAAGTTTTTAGGACTCAACAATATCAATTAGAGTCTCCCACTTTTCATGTAATCAAAGTTAAATGCACGCCAGAATTGACTTGTCTATTACTCTTTCCCAAACAACAATGTTTCCTCGATGACTGAATGAATAGGCCTAGCTTTTCTATAACTTAGGAAGGAGGGATGCATCGAAATACTAAATTTCTGCTATATCTTGCTTCTCTAACCTGGATGCTTGCTTTCACCATTAGTTGGGCCCTGACTGTAGTGATTGACAATCATGCAACCTTGATTTAATTGGGGAATTTACAATCAATCCATAGTTTTGTACCTCGTCATTTACTTTAGAAACAATCACTGCTAAATTATATAAAAAAATCATATGAGTTAGGCTTTTAATAGATAAATTATCTTGCTTTTAAACTTATTGCTATCATTTATGTGCAGAATATACTCCAGAGAATCCCAAGATAGTAACAAAATGTTCCCACCATTTCCATCTGGGTTGCATTTATGAGTGGATGGAGAGAAGTGAAAACTGTCCTGTCTGTGGAAAGGTAACCTTTTTGCACTAGTCAGCTTTTTCATCTTCATGGTAATAATCCATCAAGAGGCACGGTGCTTACATTTTACCTGCTTGATCAGTTATTTCTTTTCTTTTAAGACTTCCAATTTACTAGGATGTTCAAGGTTTACATGCATTAGCTTTTAATTTGAATTTGATATCTTTTTGAAGTTCTTAATTTTTTAATTAATATCTGTATAACCATTTTTTTTTTGGTAAAAATCTGTATAACCAATGTGAGTGCATATGTTTTTTATTGGTTGTTTATCATTTTAGTATATGTAGCTTTTCAATGAGTCTCTTTTAATGGATTTGAAATATTTAGATATTTATTGACCACATCATTTCTTCTTTTCTTTGATGAAATAGCCGCTCTTTGTTTGGTTTTAACAAAAAGTGATGGAAAGAACTAATTGGAAAAATTAACTGCAAAGAAAAATTCAGAAAATGAAGTTCCTATCTTGTTTCAATGGTTAGGCAAAAATGGGGAAAAAACTTTTTCTTAACTAACTTTTCCTTTTGGTATACTTTTCAAGTGATAATCTAACTTATCCCTGAAGTGTCTTTCCACTAATCCTCTTTGGTCAGAACATTGGTTCATGGATAAATTAGTCAGAAATAAGCAGAAATAAACAAAATAAAAGATGAAAATAAGAAGATAACAAATGACTTGTTGATAGTAAAATGAGTTTGTCATCCATCTTCTTCGAACTACCAACACTTTATAGGGTGCTTATCCAAACACCACCATCTTGAAATTTTTAGGTCAAACAATTATTTTGTCATGGGTTCTAGTTTTCTGCTCATTCTTTTTGGCTTACTATT